TTCATCTTAAGATAGCTAGGTGAGACTAACACATCCTATTTCAACACAGTCCCATTGGCTCAAGCTTCATAAATTCCTATAAGGCCTGAAATGTTGATGAATAGCCACACATTATTTCTTGAATAGCAATGCTCCGGGGAATAATCATATAAACTAATATTCAGTATGAACCCAGAAATGTTTTTCAGTTGTTGTTTTTTAAGTCAACTGAATACATTCTGGAATTATATGCCAATTTAATGTTGCTGGCGATAGAGTGTAGGCCTATGTATGTATTGGTATTTTGTATAAATGCATAACATACATTTAGGTCTATACCGCTACCGTGGGATAAAAGATTAGAGCCGTCGGGATTGGAAGAATGCTGTTTATTACAGACGTTAATTTGGTGGAGTTGGAGTAACAATGCGAACTCGTAAATGCATGTAAAGCCACCACTTAAAGGCCTTACTGGCAGGAAACGTTTGAATAAAAGCTATCATATGGTAAAGACATTCATATTATGACAGCAATTCGGCGTTAAAGCATTGCCTAGGCCTACTTTCTCTCACGAGGGTTACTTTTAAAGACTATATATAAATGGAACAAATTGATTTGGTCACCGGAGACGGCCACCGCACGGCAGATTAATTAAGGGCCTAATAATATTCCAATAAATCCTATTGAGTCCTCCCGTTGGTATTGCATACCTGCAGACAGACACCAAGACAGATCACGCTGTCAATGAAACACATTCCGTCTGTGTAGGCCTATGTGTGATTGTTGTCCATGCGTTAAAGTGAACGCATGCAATATCAACCAATATATATATATATACTTATTTTATACAGGGAGTCACATTGAGACCCATGTCTCTTTTACAAGTGAGCCTTGACATACACAAAATACTTAATATACAAAATACAAAATACACAGATCAGGGAAGAGCCAATCAATATATGTGCACTCATGGGGCCAACATTTGCTCGTGCCCATTTTTGTGGTACATTTCAATGTATGTCGTTCATCAAATCATGGATGATTTCAATTACATTTGGTCAAATCTTAGTGGTGATTAAGACAAAAGAGCTAGTAGCCTAATAGGTCTACGCCTTCATTCAGCATTATGAAACCTGATATCATGCAAATGGTGAATATTTAAGATAGGCTACTGTTACCGGCCTCAGACAGGGTGTAGTTTTTTTCAACCAATACACTAGTAATATCCAAAATACAGTCATTATAAATCAGACCTGGGTTCAAATACTATTTCAAATATCTCAATTACTTTCACATACATTCGAAGTAAGTATTCCGATTTTATTTTATTTGAAAAGACAAGTAGAATATTTTAATGTAGTCCTATTTGGAAATACACTTGGAAAGTATTTGAAAATACTCAAATACACTGACTCAAATACACTCTCATGCATTTAACGCAAGTATTTGAAAATAGTATTTGAAAATAGTATTTGAAAATAGTATTTGAAAATAGTATTTGAAAATAGTATTTGAAAATAATGTTTTAACAACTAAACATTCAAATACTCAAATAAAATTACTTGTTTTGGCCTGTGTAGGCCCATTTGAAAATATTCAAATACACAGAAAAAGTATTTTAAATACCAGATACTTAAATACACATGTAGTTGAATCCAGGTCGGAGTATAGTACAACAGGCCTATAATAAGCGATAATATACAAACACACATAGGCCTATATTTGTTAAAATGTAACATAGGCCAGATGAGCGTCTGCTAAATGACTAAAATGTAAATGTAAATGTAATTGTTAGTAGCATAGCCTATCTATAGGCTGAATTATAGGCAAGACTAGGCCTATTGGATAAATAACGCATGTCTCATTTTAAGAAATAATCATTTAATTTTTTTGCTTCCGTCACTCAATTTACTGTCATATCAAACGGAGATCAGTCACTTTATGTAGCAAAAACGAGAAATTCATAACGGCAAATTTCAGAAAACAAAAAGGCACAGATCTAGTCTACTAAATCGGTTCAAGTAGACACCAGAGCGTATTGCACATTTGAGCGTGCTGCACATTTCTTTTCCGTGACCATTCGATAAAGATAAGACCGTTTTGTGATGTTCATTTAAAGTTTCAAAATGGTTTATGTAGCAAAACCATGTTTAGGCCTAATTACAATTTTGCTTAGGCTATTTGAGCCGAGATGAAGTGCAAAAGAGAAAGCAAGTCCAGCCTAATGACGAATTCAGTTAATGTAGTCCTAAAACAAACCCTAATAATCTTGAGGGTAATTTTAATAGACATGTTATTTTATTATTATTCAATGATCATACAAGTGATGTGATAAGGACACTAATATAATATGATACAATATGATAGATAAAGACACTATCATGACCAAGTCTAACTATTCTAACAAAAGCATAGCTAAATTAGTCCAGAGATGAGACTTGGATTTTCACTACTTGGCAGATGTCCCATATAGGCACCTGGAGACGCTCTTGGAATGCTGATTACCATCCCTAAAACACCTCTGGTCAATAATCCCGTCTGCAAGGCTAGACCTCAAAAGTCTGCGCCACAACACAAAGCTGAAAGGATTTTACCCCGTGATGTTTACAACCCCAATTCTCCCACTGCAGCCAATAGACATTTAGTGTCCACCACATAAAGCCACAGAGCGAAGAAAAAAGGTCTCGTCGTGGATATTGGTGGCTCGGTTCATTTACAATGCCATTTGCTGGGACTCCAGAGCCGAGTGTATAATCTGTCGGAAATGGACGCCCTTGATGAAGGCGAACTGACGTAATCAAGGCAGTTTTTTGTTGCCGAGCCAGGAAGTCAATCCCAACAACATGAAACTACCTAAACCACGGATCAGCTAAGCGTGAAAGGGCAATCCACTGAGAATTAGACACAATATCAAACGTCTCGCATACTGTCAAATGCTTTTCTATGGCCGATACGAATAACAAAATGATGCATTTCTAGACCAGGACGAACGGTCCTAGGCTATTAGGCTACGTTTCATGTTCATCAATTAAAGCTACCTGTTAAACTTCAACAATAGGATACTGGACCCAAGACTCATTTGATATGAATCATGCAGGTGTCTTGTTTTTCATATAGGTCAAATTTGAAAAGAGCAAGATAATACAGTCTATAATGTCCACGATCTGAATGCACATCCAGCAAGGAGCGATCATATTTTGGAAGATATTTTGTAACAATACATTTTTCATAGTCAATGGGATAGTATACTCCATGAACACATGCAGGTGCACAATCGTCTGTTCATTCTATTAAAAAAACATCGTTGTCCATCCAAGGTAGAGGTAAATTCAACAAAATTATCACAGCACACATGATAATCCAAAATCCACTTGCAAATATACAAAACTCCCACAAACATCGCTGGTCGGATTTCGAATGTCTGCAGGAGGTAAAAAATACAGCAACAGAAAAACACGAAATACCCTCGGTGTAAAGGAATTGAATGTGCTGCCAGTTGCAAATGTGCCAAATGAGCAGAGCCAGACCTGATCTAGTCCAAAGCAAAGAAGAGGAATGCCAGCGGCTATAGTCCTACCTTCAACCCTAGCTGCATGTGGGGATCCGTTTCCATGCTCCTGCAGCCATGTCTCGTTGCGGACTTTGTTCCAATATATACATTCCCTTAATCACCCGGTCTCTTTATGTTCCATCATCCGTTGGAGAATGTCGCATTTCCCTCATCCGGTGAAAGCAGTGGCGTGCGCCCGGGCAAACCAGCCCCATCCTAGTGCGGCTCCGTGGGTATAGAGTTCCTCCTCCTCGCCCTTAAACGCATCTTTACTGCCGCGGCGCACATTATATTTGCAGATCATTAAACCCACCTCTGGCGCTGTACTCCGACCATCCTGACATTACTATTTTATGACATTGACTTATTGGTCACCTGGCTAATATTTAAATCACCGCTATATGGTCGGTCTTTCCACCCTTTTCTCTCCCCTCTCTTTCTCAAAGCAAGTCATAAAGGACACGAAGGGGAAGGACAACCAAGAAAAATGATGCTCTAAACCCATTTATTTATTTTTTTTGTGTTGGCTTATTTGATATCCAGCCACATTATGCTTGGGATAATGCTTTGGAAGTTAATGCACGTTGATGCTGTAATGCACAGGACATCAAGTTCACAGAAATGACAAAACAACCAAACACAAAACAATAAGAACAGAAATGATAAAAAGGAAGAGACCAAGTAATGATACGTTTTCATTAAAAGTGAATGGAAACCATTGCAGACACAGGACTGTGACTTTAAGACACGTTTCACAAACAATTAAAGACTTCCTCTTGCGAAATTTGAAACATTTGCTGTTGAAAAGCGATATCCCAAGTATAAATACAGTAAAGTACACCCCATGGTAAAAAAAATATTTGAGCAAAATAGTGTTTTTAGACACAACCGCAAACTTCAAGGAGTAGGGCATTCAAGGAGTTGGTCTGATGGAAATTCGTGATGTCATCGGCCCCTCCCTTGCTTGATGAACAATAGAGAAGCAACAGAGAACAAAAGAGGAAAGGCCCACCCCCACCACTTTTGCTATGCATGTCATGACATACCTGCATCACCTATTGAGATGTGCCTTTTGTTAACTACATCAGGTGTTAAATGAGATGAAAAGGAGACTGGAGTGCCACTTTAATACCCAGCCTTTTAAAACAATGTGCATCTGTCGAGCTTCAAAGCATTTCACTGTCAAATCATGAAACTGAAAATGTTCATAAAACCATGCAAGGACTCTAAAAAAAAGTGAAGCATGTTTGAAGGGCTTACAATTTCTATCCTGCTCTAGATGTTTTCACCTGTATGTGTGCAAGCCTATATGTGTAGCTTAAGCGTAAAAGTATTTATCTCCAAATAAGGTGTAAGGTTGTAAGTATAGTTATAAGCAGAGGTTAGCTCTCTCACTCAACTCTCCCTGTTGAATTTCTTAAACTTCATACGTTGGTTTTGGAACCATATTTTGACCTGTCTGTCAGATAAGTCAATACTCTTGCTGTTCTCCAAGCGGCGCTCTCGCGTCAGATACATGTTGAACAATAACTCCTTCTCCAGTTCCAGTGTTTGATGTTTGGTAGAAGGACAACGCTTTTTCGTCTACTTTTCGCTGTGAGCCACTTTCCAAAGGCATTCTCCAATCTGTCCCCTGTAAAAAGGAATTAGTTACATTAACGTAATTCTCAGTGTGTAGCCTAAACATAGGCTTATTTGTGATAGAAAACAATAATGCACGGACTTAATCAGTTTACCAAGAAGGCCATGTCTTGACGACAAACTATAGTTTTTGTATTATGCCTGCCATTTTATAACATTATATGTTTTTAATCTATTCGACCATTGTATTTACAACTTCACTTTTTAGCTGAAAGGAGTAGGCCAACTAATCTGAGATGCAAGTCCCCTGGAAGAAAAACGGGTTATATACAACATGTCGTTGTCTTCGATGTCTTTATGCACGGGCGATATAATTAGGCTACTATAGCTTTTAGTGAGATGATAAATGACCGCTTCTTAGAGGTAAGCCTACAACTAATCTTGCATTATTTGCGTATCTGGAGTAGTCTAAACTCACTCAAAGCCAATTGAAACAATAAGTACAAAGACAGGGCCTATACAAAAACATTTGACTAGATCTCATCAGGCAAATAACGAAAATCAATGGATAATTCATCTGGGTAATTTGGGTCCTTTTGGCGATAAGAATTACATTATGTTCTTCAATCCCTTCATAAATAGCCTAAAAGAGAGAAATAAAATGTAGCCTATATTAGTTAATGCCACAATACAGCTCTTGGTAAGTTGGATGGATATGACTGACTATTCCCGAGATGTATAGTCTAGTCTACCAATGAAGGAGTCCGGAGGAGTTTCAAATCTAAATGTTATTGACTTCCGTCTTGATTACATGGCGCAGCGGGCACGAAAAATACAACTATTCACACAATCCGGAAATCATATAGGCCTAGTAATTGAACTGCGCAAAGCTATAGGCCTATAACCTACACACTTCAGACTATTCCAGACAAGTGTTTTGATGTAGCCTAGTCATCGATTCATTTTTCAGTGAATCACTGATCAATTATTATTTTAAAATCTGGGATAAAAGTGTCATATTTTAATAGCAAGTAATGAGTATTGTAACGAATCTGACGTTAATTTTCAGATTTAAGGAAGAGAGAAATTAGGGACTGAAGAAACTTCTTCTATTTCGACCTAAATCACACCTTGTTTTCAACAACATGTACATAGAGGCCCCATGTCTGCCTGATTTTAACATTAGTTAATAAATACCATTGTGAAAGCGTTGGCGTGAATTTCGGACGCACGCGCTGTGGCCACATATGCTCAATAACAGGCCTAAGAAGAATAAATAATAATAATAATAATAATAATAGGCCTAATAATAATAATAATCGAATCACCATTACCCTAAAGTTGACTTAACTTACAAAACAAAATGTCATGAACTTGAGGGAGCCTTATGCTTGTTGTTTTACATGTACAAAAATAGTTTATCGAGAAAATGTCATTTCAAAAGCGGACAAGCTGAAAAACAGCAGCAATCATATAGCAGCCATTTCGTTGCCCTTCACCTTCCAATAAACTTTCCTACGCAAAAGCCTTCTGATGTGTTTTTTTTGTCAGTTTGTCTGTAGGCCTATGTCTTCTCGGGCCGGTTTCTCGGACACAGATTATACATAGTTTTGGACTAAGCACTTTCAATGGTGAATCTGCATTGAACACGATTTTTTTGTCTAGGACTAATCTTAATCTGTGTCTGGGAAATCGTGTTTTGTTTTGAAATCTTCTTTGCTGTAATTAGTGTGTGCTTATTCGTTTGGATAGGCTTCCCTAATTTACTAGTAGCCTAGCCTAGAATGCTTCTTTATTATAAAAAAATCCAAGAGAGATATTGCGACTAATAAGAATGAATGAGCGCCATCTCAACTGCAAAATATATTTGCAACTGTGCATTTTAATTTCTCAAAAACGTAGACTATCACGTAACATTGCAAAGATTTACCAACGCAAACGTGCAGTTAGTTCAATGCTAAACAGATAATGTCATTCGTAGCAAGTTGGTAATGGACTGGCAATTAGGAGATCCTAATTATAAAGCTAGTGTATGAAGGGAAGTGTAGCCTATGCTTACTCAAGTGTGCTTACACTCTTAGAAAAAAAGGTTCTAGATAGAACCGAAAAGGTTTCTATGCTTGTTTCAAATTTGGAAATAGGTTCCATACAGAACCCTATATAGAACCAACGGGTTCTATATGGAACCAGTTTTGGAAGAAGAACCCCTGGGATTCTGATCAAAGAACCCTACAAAAGGGTGCACATAGAACCTTTTTGGTTCTATCCTGAACCTTTTTTTCTAAGAGTGTAACAAAAAACATTGCCTACCAATCGAAACAAGTTTGCAATTACTGAAAATTGTAGCCTACTTCAAACTGTACCACTGTTCAAAAATAGCATATAAACCTATGCCAAGGCTCAGCGTTGCATAATCGTTTGAAACATTAGTATACTTTATTTCCAGCTCAAATCAAAAGTTTAAAAAATCTCAATAACATAAAAAAACCACAAAGAACAGGTCCTCTTCTCATATGATATTGGCTTGTCTAACTGTGTGCTTCCTCCGAGTGTGATAAGCTTGCTTATGTGTTATAAACTGTGTATGTGTGTGTGTGTGTGTGTGTGCGTGCGCACTGATAATATGCTTGTTTATATGTTATAAGCCCATGCGTGTGTGCTCGCTCTCTTAATATGCTTGTTTATGTGTTATTGACCGTGTGTTTGTGTGTGTGTGTGTGTTACCTTTAACCTCACTGTCTGAGTTGTATGTGCTACCGTGCGTTTTAAGGACATTCTCTTTCTCAGGCAGTTGTTTCGTGGGACTGTGATTCTCCTCGAGTTTACTGTCAGCCACTGCCAGATGCACCTCCTGATTGGTTTCGCAGGTGTCGTTAAATAGTTCTGGATTATCTGTCCCAGTTTCGGACACAGAGAAGATACTTTCTGATCCGAAGCCATGCGCCTTCTCTTTCCTCAGGTACCGTTGACTAGCTGTCGATGATTCCAGACGAGAATGTTCGTGCGTTTGACTGGGATGGCGTCTCTCAGCCATCCGCGTGTAGGAACAAGTTCCAACAACAGTATCCGTGCGTCCGTTTGGATCTCCGCTATATAGGCAGCATATTCAGTCCCCCTTCACACTGTCCGATGGGAAAGAACATGGAAGCAGCGGTCAGGTAACAGGCTGTGCTACCTGGGATGCATTTTTATATTCAGCCCCAAAAGCCTTTAGCTGCGACAGGTAATGATGTTGATGGTAGGCGCTGAGAGCCGTGTTTGTCGGAGATGTGCTCCCGCTTTGGAGAGAGGCGAAAAATTCCATAATTTCTCACGGTCGAACAGTCATACTCGGTCGCAACTCTTTGAGCATACATTCCGGAACTGCCGAAATAGCCCTCATCTCTGCACACAGCGGATCCTCCTACCAACTGTTCCACGTGGAAGTTAGAAGCTGGGATTCTATTTGGGCATTCCATTGTATTGTTATCTTTCTTATTTTTATACCACTCTTCAGAGTCCTCCTAAAGGATTATAGAGGGGTAGGAAGCTGACATATTTGAGTTGGGGGCATGGAGCATAAAAAAACATCAGCAACATAATTATGTCTGTAAGAGGCATGCCACGTGAATTTCAGACCAATTGGGGTTTGAAAGTGGCCTTGACGCACCAGACTGCCATGACGACACCGTGGTCAAGTTGTTGAATTTTCAGCTCTAGGACAGAGTAAGGGCGCCATCTAGTAGGACAGATAGGTTACAGACACAAGTTCTAGAACATAGTCACTATAATTAAAATAGTGTTCTATTTAATTATGTTCTAGAAAACAAATGTGAGCGACGGAGCTGGCAAAAAAATAAGAGAATAAACTAAAAGTAGCAACAAGATGTAGGTTATGTAAATTGCATAACATGTAGGCGACATTCCATCATGATAAGTGTTGTCTGATTGTTTTGTACAGCTTCTGCACTCAAAAAACTGATTTTATGTTATTTATTTTATTTAGAGGCAACAAAAGCAAAAACAAACATTTCGGTAATGATTCTTGAAATATCAACTGCCAAATAGTTGTATGATTTGATCTTTTCTAAAGGTGATAAGGAGCAATTTTTGCTTGTTTCCATTTCTTGTAGCCTATAGTTCCGTAAACTGGGATGAACGCAGTAGCTTTAGTTATAGGCTGTAGCAGATTTTCATAGAATTTAAAAAAAGAGTGACACAGGCCTAAGTTTAAAAAAGAAGTGGATTGAGGACAAAGAGAGAGTGTAATAACGACATAAGATTTATAAACATCGTGGCACTACTATCAAATCAAATCACATGTTATTTGTCACATGCGCCGAATACAACCTTACAGTGAAATGCTTACTTACAAGCCATTAACCAACAATGCAGTTTTAAGAAAAATAAGTAAGTAAAAAATAGATAAGTAAAAAAGAAAAAAAAGAATACAAAATCGATAGCCAAAAAGGAATTAGTTTACTTTTAAGCTTTTTGAATGTGTTTTAGAGGCACAATTTCGTGAATTTGCATTACTGTGCATTACTATGCATTACTATGCATTACTATGCATTACTATTTTTATCAAAAGCCTATTGTTGTGCAAACCTTTACTTTAAAAAAAATACATTTAAACAGTTGTTCGTCTGACAAGCAATTAAAAAGTAAGCAATAGTCTACCCCTTTTGTTTGCCTTTCTTTCATCCAAATTATTTTCATCCAAACTCCGACATTGCTCATCCTAATATTTCTATATTTCTTAATTCCATTCTTTTACTTTTTAGATTCGTGTGTATTGTTGTATATTGATAAATATTACTGCACTGTTAGAGTTAGGAACACAAGCATTTCGCTGCACCCGCAATAACATCTGCTAAATATGTGTATGCGACCAATCAAATGTTATTAGATTTTAGATTTTTGAATTGTGTGAGAGGCAATTTCATAGCGAATCCTCTGTTTCCCATAGCATGAGCAAGAAAATTCTTCGGAATAAATCAAAATAAATTAATATAAGCTAGTGCTAATTGAGTGCTCAGTTTTCTTAGCTGATTCTTTATCATTGCAAATTTGAGTCAGTCATCATCACGTATCAGTGTTAATTGTGTTGTGTTGCTCAGTTAGTATAATATAAGAGCGTGCCGCTAGAAACGCTATGGTCGTGGGTTCAATTCCTGCAGGGATCACTTACACAAACAAAATGTAGAATATGCACACACGCTTTATTTAGTTTTCTAAATCGCTTTGGATAAATTCTGCAAATGGCATGCATTATATACGGTGAAAAATTATCCAGTGAATCCGAAATCTTTATATTTTATTTAATGAATTCCTATAGACCTACATAATCCATGGTGATTTAACAAATACAACATAACGTACATTCCTACTCACATGCATCCTCCTTTACCAGATAAAAGCTATTTCATTGGTCCTCTGTAGCTCAGTTGGTAGAGCACAGCACTTCTAACGCCAGGGTAGTGGGTTCGATCCCCGGGACCACCCATACGTAAAAATGTATGCGCACATGACTGTAAGTCGCTTTGGATAAAAGCGTCTGCTAAATGGCATACTATTATTATATATACATTTTTGATATAATTTCTCAGTTAACGTTTCGCCGTCATAATCTGTCAGAGAGCCTTGCTATACCTAAGCTATACCATCTAAGACAGATAAGAAAATACAAAAATAGGTTTGTTGTGCTGCGACTGTTTTGTTAGTTGGTTCTGATCTTATCGGTTATGTGACGGTGGAACCTAGTTTTGCCTTCAATGGCGCCGGCAGAGGTCACTGACAATGACCCGGCCTGTTCACAGCAAGATATCAGCTTTACCTGCTCTCTCTGTCACCATTACTACTTTTATTTTTTAAAGGCATATCTTTTTGCAAGGGCATATGTTCAACATGTTATGGTGTAGCCTAACGATTTAAAACATTGATCTCGTTTTTACGTTTTCAGGGGAGAGAGAAAGTGAATGTAGGCTGTTGGTCGAATTCTATAACTGTAAGGCTAGGCTATTTGTGCATGCATCCTGAACTTTAGCGAAAAACTCGCATTTACATCAATAGTTTACATGATTTGTGCGAAACATCGAGAAATTGGCCGTTTCTGAAATAAGAATTCAGCCTTTAGAGAGGCGAGGTTGATTTCAAAGCAAATCAAAAAGGTGACATGGCTATCCATTTTGATATTGATAATATCGCCACGTTATGTTTCTGTGAAACAAACAAAAAAACTATAGCGCACAGAGCTTTTATTTACATCTTAAAACAGGATTATTAAGAGATCGCGCTTTATTCAGTGTGTTGGCCTACAGGCTATGCGAGTGCAATACATACCACAGCCTAACTGTCTTGCATTCAGATGTTGATTCTTAAGAACACAACAAAACAATCATATGTAGCCCATTTTTGGATCATAGGCCTACCAAATATCAATACCATTTTGTGACTGATCTTGAGGAGCAATACGAATTATAATATGTAACTGAGTGCGTGTCTTGGCATGCAGGGATTGACAATTCTGGAACTCTAAGCACCACCAATAAATGTGGTGGACACTCTCAATGCAAACTGTGTTGTTGCTATTAATTCGATTATTAACTTATAGGCCTATAACATTTGGAAGAAAACCAGTCTGTTTATAAGGATGTGTTTTGACAGAACTGATCAAATACACTGTGGTTGGTTGTCGTGCCGAAACGTTGGTGTTTATTCCCATTACATTATTTGGAGGATAGAACGTGCCACTATCTATATTTTTTAATTAAACGCCTTGGATTATGACGTTTCATAATCTGCATATCATAGGCCGATAATATAATATAAGGCTATTTTATATATAAGATCCGTAGAGAAACCTCGGATAATTAATTTTGGCTGATGGATGTTTTCTGTAGTCCTACCTACAATTGATGGTGCAGTCTCAACTTTTTATTTTATTTATCACTGTTTACTTTAAAGGTTTTTCGATTAATAAGGTAGCCTAAAAAAAAAATGTTTTATTGGAATTGCGATGGAATTCAACATATCTCTGACAAAATATGGCTAAATGAAGGTGAGCCAGATGAACCCATGTAATCAACGTTTGTTTATTGATTTGATTTTAGGTCATCTCACTGCCCTAAACCCCACAACCTTAAACATATATAGTTTTATTAGACAAACACGCATGTTCAAATCTTGTGCCATTCCTAAACAATTGATAAACGCCAATCCACCGGGGTGTAAGACCTTAAAATATCCACACACCCATGCACACAGAAAGTCAACTTGAGTGCGTGCGCTAAACGGACCCTGGGTAATGGAGTTTACGAGATAGAATAAACACGAGCACGTTAAAATATCAGTCTGAATTGAAATATAGAATGAAAATACTAATCTTAACGGTTCAAAGTTGCATCAATCTTTCAAGTGGTTCAATGCCCATTGCCAACATTAAACTGACTATTATTATTTGTATCATTTGTTCTTATTATTCACATTCACATTCGTAATTACTTTTAGCTTAATATGATTACTATATGGGCATATTATATATGTGTTTTACTTATTGGTATTTCATGCTTCACGTTACTTTTCTTAAGGGGAATGAGAATTACTTTTTTCGATGCACAACATGTGAGAAGAGGCTAAACTATTCCCAAAACCTAAAGCCTTGATGGTGTAGCATTATTACTCACACAGCCAATCCTCCTGTCGCCACAAAACACACTAAAATGGAGTCCGCCTCCATGCCATGCCATCAAAATGACAGAAAAATCATATTCAATTTGAAGCAACGTTGAGCTATTTTGCGCTGGAGGGCCGCTATACCAACGCACGAATGTTAAATTTACGCATGGCGCATGTTCTCTGCGTTAAATCCAATTATAAATCGTCCAGGTGTGATCTACAAGAGAAGTCAGCATAATATTAAAATGTGAATATCGTCAAAAAGCTGAAACAAATTACCACACTGCACCCGGCTGGTTATTTATAGGCTTGTCATCACCTTGTGGGGGTTAAGCAATGTCGTTTTCTCTGAAATAATGTGCACGCACACACATATGCACACACACACACTATTCCATACAATACTTTACGCACACCATAGACTACATAAAGGCCTTTACACACAAAGACAATTTTTCTAAACCTGACCTTGATTTCTTAAAGATGTTCATCCTCTCGTCCTCTTGCATGCCTTCATAGCATATACCTAGCTAGCGTATAGGCTAAAGATTTCAGAAAAATAAATTACCCATAACAAAACAAAGAAAGCCTTCAGGAGAGCAAGCTCATGTCACTGTTGCGCCTGTTCAAACCTCTACACATAGGTTCCAAGCAATGTAGGCTATATTCGAAGAAGCTATTCATCTTTCTCCTCCCTGCAGTTCTCTTCTCCTTAGAGGACGGCTATAGAGCCATTTGGGCCTTGTTCCACAATTGTCTATCTGGTGCGGAAGCGTAGCCTCGTGAACATAACAAAATTGACGTAACACCAAATCAAAGCGCAGGACAAGATTTTGTGGAGCCTTGGATTAACATTTATTTGATTGTACCACAGCCAAGACTCCTCCCAGATCACAATATCGAGAGGGATGTCTTGATTAAGTTAATATTGTTAACAGAGACCTGACACCTTCGAGTGACGTTGGACACCACCAGACAGAACGCCATATCGCGTCATACGCAAGAGGCCACTTGTCCATAGAGATAGATAGAGGACTCATCTTGCATCTGTGCCATTATAGCGTCAGTGACAGCATGGAAAAATGCCAAACATGTACATTTACGTCATTTAGCAGACGCTCTTATCCAGAGCGACTTACAGTTAGTGCATACATTATTCTATTTTATTTTTTAGCGTTGCAAACGCCATGCTCTACCAACTGAGCTACCTCCCTGCCGGCCATTCCCTCCCTTACCCTGGACGACGCTGGGCCAACTGTGCGCCGCCCCATTGGTCTCCCGGTTGCGGCCGGCTACAGCAGAGCCTGGATTCGACAGCTAGCACTGCGATGCAGTGCCTTAGACCACTGCGCCACTCGGGAGGTTAACATCAATAACGTTAAGGTTATTCTGGGTGTGGTACAGTTTAACACACTTAGACTTCAAAGTTTAATCTGGGTTAAGCAAAATATACGTTACAATGTCCAATTGCCTGAGGATGTCAAATTGGCCATCTCAACGATTATGTGGGAAACAAGTTTGTCATTTCCAAGTGCGTTTCCATTTCAATTACAGAAAATTAATTATAATAGTATGATGACACGGTTACCCATATGCTCTTCGCCATAGTGCATCCAATACACACTAACTGTTTTGCTTATTTTGGGTGCACACATGCCTAACACGAAACAGATATTAAACAATAGCCAACAAAAAATGGATTTTTTTCCTCCAAAATTCTACCACAATCACAACTGGTAAAAAACACGTTATATGCATACGTTTTCAAGAGGTCAATGCTGGGTTCTTTAAACAGCCCCCTCTAAACCCCATCCCCCTTTCCCCCCGACCTTCGCAAACCTCATTGGCTGGCTGTTGGTACCCGCATTTCAGGGAGCAAAGCCACTCTCTGATTCAACTTTATTGCGTCGGGTTAAAGGTGAAGGCCTTGACTTCCCGGAAGTTCAAAGACAATATCTCTTTCTTTCTTGCAAGATATCAAAATACACCTAAACGTCCCAAGGCCTCCATCTCTGTAAATTGGTGGGCATCGGTATGAATTACATTTGATATATGCATAATGCGTCAGCACAGCTACAGAGTAAAAAACATGCCACAGCCGCAGGACATCGGTGAGGTAGGCCTATACACCACCACATGGTCAATAAACGTGAGGTTTTTTTTCTCTCCTGAAAGCCTCTCAACAGATATCCTAGTTGGGTTTGTTTTGTTATCCCGAGCAGAAATGGATAAGGATATAGTGGATGACGTGTAGTCATCCACTGTAGCTCAGTTGGTAGAGCATGGCACTTGCAACGCCAGGGTTGTGGGTTCGTTTCCCACGGGGGGCCAGTATGAAAATGTATGCACTCACTAACTGTAAGTCACTCTGGATAAGAGCGTCTGCTAAATGACTAAAATGTAAAAAATGTGAAGATTGTGCACTAGGGATGATGTAAAATTTGATTTTTGTATGTTTTTGAGTAAAAGGCCATCTATTCGAGCTCCCCATTTACGACGGAAGGAATCTCACTCCACTGGGCAGACGGTGCAATTAAGAGAAAAGTAACTATTTAGTGCCCCTGGTCTTTATGACAGTGTCTAGACTGGACTGGTCTAGTTTTCAAAATTACCATTGGATATTTATTTTAGTGCACATCTCAACCTCTCTCTCTCTCTCTCTCTCTCTCATTGACACATTCACTCACCAACATCAGTAACACGGGCAAACATGCACGCACACGCAAATGTGTTTTCCTTTAGCCTACATAGGTCATACATGGATGAAAACCAATTCAACATTATAGCACCCCTAATTACTTGCAGACTTTTTCGTGAAAACAAGAGCACTGGACAATGAAGACAAATATAGCGCCCTCATACTCCTGACAAATTGCGCATCAAGTCCACCTAGTTTTTAACTATTTCACAAGCATTCCCAATATTTTAATCTGACATCTTATCCTTAGCCTATTGACATGGAGTCTTGATTTGTATAAATTAGCCTAGATACCTAGTTCTACGATAGAGCCTATACTTATTTCCCATTAATCTTCACATTAAATCTCAACGATTTCTCGGGGACATGCATAGGGTTTCACAACTTTTTATTGGCCGTTGTGACCTGTTTAAATAGCCCAGTATACTGTGCTAGTAAGGGCCTACTTAAGAAATCACGTGGAAGGTAACATTACAATGCTCTTCTACAAGCATTGAGGACTATAGATAACTAAAAGCCCAAGCATTCTGTATGAATACACAAATAGACTATAATAACGCATGTTCTTGGTGGTTGATATTTGAAATACAGACCTAGACCCAATAGAAATAATAACATAAAAACTCTCAAAGAATGGCTTGATTTAAGAATCACTATTCGTTTATTTTTGTTACATTCTTTCACTTGATGCATATATGCGACGTCATCTCTTCATATTGCATAAACTCAAAATCGGCAAGCAAACGGCAAGCAATTAACAAAAAGCTCAGTATAGAGTCAAAAAGAGCTTGTAAGCCATAGAGCTTTTAAGTTATTTTTTGAAATCTTTCAAAGATAGTAATTAGGTTAAGTGATAAAAATTCGATAAAGAAATGAAATTCATATATACAATCAGTCATATTGTATAGTCTCTTAAAGGACATTATTCATTTGGGACCGATGTCCAAGTTCTTGGTTGCAGCAAAAATGTGTCTAAATCTGCAGCGTACCTATGAAGAGTCTGTGCGGCTGTCCTCAAGTCGGTTCAGTTTGTAGCGAAATCATTTCACAAAGAGAGGATCATGATGAAATGCAGAGGTAAAAGAGAGAAATGTTACTGGAAAGACAGCATTTCACAAGTGAATCTAAATAGGCTATATAATTAAACAAAAGAAAAATACTGAGAACTGTCGTACTTGCGATTAGAATGTTTCACATATTTGGTTTAATGTGGCAAACGTGTGAATACAAATCTTTAATTGGAAAAAATGTTGTACAGAAAAATGAATATTTTACCTTCATTTCTCTGCTATTGTCAGATATACTTTTCTCTGAGGTCTTGCTTTATGCTGGTTCTTGTTATTTGTTCAACAAAACAAGGAAACATAAAAAACATATTCATAACTGGTTATCTTTCTTTTCAGTCCCAGCGTTTCCATGACCTAACACTTAGCTGAAATCGACTCTGGCCTTGTCCTCCAAAGGCAATTCAGTTTTAGAGGTGATAATATTAATGATTACTTCTCACCAAAGCTACCAGTTTAGAGTTCACAATAAGGGGTTGCCAGAAAAATACTGCAGGCGATCTCGGCTTAATTTCTTTTCTTTCATTCGGCGGTTCTGGAACCAGATTTTGACCTGACGGTCAGTGAGGTTTAGCATTCTGGAGAGCTGCAGCCGTTTCTCCTTGTTGATATAAACATTAAAGAAGAACTCTCTTTCCAGTTCTCGAATCTGGAACTTCGTGTAAGGACACCTCTTCTTCCTCGTGCGTGGTGTACCTTAGAGCAATATAAAACAAATAAGCAGAAGAATGTAAGGTCAAGTGTATCCAACATGTACACTTTTCAAATAAAATAAGCATTTAGAGACTAGTTGAAACCTGTGGGGATTCAAATCGTAGGTTTATTAAGTTTGATAAAATGTAAGTTTGCTAAACATGTACCCTTGATTTTGCGCATACATTTTCTTTCTCTGTATCCTTAAATACATTCCCCTCATTGCCATCCCCTTGTAACATGGAAAACGTATGATGCAAAACTATAATCAGCCTTCTCCTCTATAAAATCTCTGACTAGTTTTGTAACGCTCTTCACACAACGTCATTGCACTTTTTATCCCCTCACTACCTCCTTTATTTTCCACTGTCAATACACTGCCATAATGGCAATATATGTCTATCAAGGACAATATTGACCTTCATTTCATATTGCGATCATCTATGGTAAATTAACACTTGATACCTAGATAATATAACAAATAGGTGGGATATTATTATAGGCTAGAGACAAATTCTTCCACATGACACTATTGGGGCGCTTGGGCCTGCGAAGTGGGAACCACCATTTCATTAGTCTACGAATAAATATGATATAATTATATATATTTTGACCAATTTACCGATGCTCATTGGTTTATCACATGGACTATAACAAAGCAGAACGAGTTTGTTGGTGATTTACAGAATATCTCAACGCTTGAAATATTTAAATAATTGTTTAGTCTACAAACTGAAATACTAGGATAGCCTTTTTGAGAAGTGCATGGGTCCCAAAGAAAACCAAACATTATGATTATCACAACCGATATTTTCTGAACAGCTGCTGTTACCGCGTAAAGCAACACGTCCACAGTAACAACACAATAGCATTTCTACTTTTACAGGAGGCTGCTGAGAAGGCAAACATCACAGGACGCCCAAAAGCAGTGTTCTGCCCAATTGCTTTTTACCCTCGAAAGCCTGGCGAAACATCCCTTAAAAAGACCAGCGCAAGTTCATGATCAAAGTTAGCATTTGTCACAATAGTGCGCTCTTAACATTTCACAGACTCTGGGATAGCTGCTGCCTGTGTGTAACGTATCGTTTTTTCAAAGCGCTTTCCCATCGTAAAAAATATTCTTGCTGGAAGAAAGAGCTTTGTAGGTTATAATAAAATCCTTTGAATGCTTATAAAACTCCACATAAAATCTGACCGACAAAACACCGGGCTAGTCCCTTAACCTTTTTTTCATTTACAGCTTCGGTACCTACTCGAGTGGCTGGTTTTGCTGGCGCTGTCGTCTTTCGTGCCAGATGAAGAGGCACAAGAACCCGAATTAGTGTTTTCCTCTTCATCCTCGGGTTCTTTCTCCGGGTCTGCGGCGCTGTGGAGGGCGGCAAGCGGCTGGGATGCTGAATCCAGTTTACTGGAGTCGCCCTTCTGAGCACAGTTCTCTTGCGAGCTGTTATCCGCCCCGCTGTGTGAGCTTTCGAAAAAGCGGTCAAAGCCCTGCGGAAGAACGTTGTTTTTCCCCACTCCCGAGTAAAAGCCCGTGGATGGGTGGTTGGAGCTTGGGTGGTGGTGGTGGTGATGGTGATGGCTGTAGACACTTTCGTTTTTCATCAGCATTTCTGTCATGGTGGACGATGGCGGAAGGCAGTCCCTATGTACCAGTTCCTCCCCTGAGTAGCAGGACGCATAGTTTCCTCTATGGTGCCACTTACTTGAGGGCTCCAAACTGTAAGAAACGTCCCGAACCGGTTGCACTTGGGAGAGGTTCGTGGAGTAAGGGTAGGTGATTTGCCGAGATGGGGCCTGTGGCAGGAAGGAAGAGACGGCAGAAAATTCGGGGACATAATAGGTGCAGCTGGGGAGGTAAAGGTTGGACCCGCAGCTTGCTCTGTCTCCGAACTCGGAAGTCCTGTCTTTTCGCGTCTGTGAGCAGAAGTTTCCCAGATTAACCGAGTTAAACATCGTTCTTCCCGTTCTCGTGCACTATAGATAGATTTTTTGGATTCGAACTGCAGAAGGAGAAAAATTGGGAAGGAGAGATGACGCGCTATCCGTCTAAGTCACCCCAAGACACGTGATCGAAAGTAGATATTGTCATATATCAATTTGGAACACTTAACAAGCGTAGGAGTGGTTCACTTTGGTAAGATATAGGAGGTTCAAACGATTGGTTTTCCAACACCGCATGAGCATTTTGAAAATCTATGTCAGGTATCTTAGCTACGTAGCCTATAACATTGTAATCAAAATATGAATACCTTATAGTACATGCGCAATGCAATATAGCATAAAACACTGACAGGTAGGCTAAGGGTTTTTAATGACAATAATAATAAATATTATTATTACTGTTATTATTATTATTATTAGTAGTAGTAGTAGTAGTAGTAGTAGTAGTAGTAGTAGTAGTAGTAGTAGTAGTAGTAGTAGTAGTAGTAGCAGTAGTAGTAGTAGTATTAAGAGGCCATGCAAATGCAGGCTACTATAGCCTATATCTTGATAGTTACTAGGCTACTACTAGTAGCCTACAAAAGTTATTTTGCAAACCTTCACTTCGCAGTGTTTGAGATTTTCACCCCTTTCCCTAATTTATTTTCCTAGCAATGAAATACCTATTTTAATCCACTATCCTATATCAAAACCCTTGAAGTGCATATTGAACATATTCTATAAACTTTTGAATTATTACAAATAAATTATAATATAATTCTTCCAGTCTTCTTAAGTGAATGAAAATGCATGAAGGCCCAATTTCCATATAACCTGAGATTTCAGGAAATAAAATATAGTTAAAATGTTCATTATCATCTAGTCCGATGGTTTAGTTCCTCGTGAAAGTATTATAAGTTATGAATTGCAAGTAAACCTGTTGTAATAACTGGTATAAAGATATCGTTAAGGTCCCCAATTTTAAAGCAGTTTATTGCTCTATCCCCAGCAACAAGATCACTTAAAGAAAGAAACATGAATATAAATTTATATTTGTGTTACAAATGTGGCTGCAACACAGTGCAGTGTTTGGCGACGTGGAAACTAGGAAGTCAGAGAGCAAAAACACCGTTTTCGATTTTATAACCTGTGTGCGTGTGTGCGTGTGCGTGTGTGCGTGTGCGCCCCCATGCTTGCCCCTGCATGAGTATGTTTAGACATTAACCCGGTTTCACATATCTTTTCTTCCATGCATTTTTGCATCAACCAGAACCCGCGATGGCCATTCCATAATACGAAGACGTAAGACATGCCAGTGCTTACCAAGACCAAATGTTTAATTTAATTTTCCGAAAGGAAAAGGGCCAAGTGTTCAAAACACATATTTCAGAGTTATGCTGTGGACAAATAAATAGTGCATAGTTTGAGATTCATGCAGGAACATGTTCACGACCTCGGTCCATTCTTTTGGAATTCCAATAATTTCGTGTTTTTAAATTATATTAATTGAAATCGGAGAATTGACCAAGACCTTGGACATACTCACCTAGACTTGACTGGGCCAAATAGTTGAGGTCTGCATCACATTCTAAAGGTGGTGGCTGTATTTTGGGTGGACAGTTTGTTCAAAAGCCCATCTTTCAACAGATAAAAGGTCGAGGCACAAGACGCCTGCAATCAAGTACAAAGAAACCAGACAGCTGTCCAGACACAGCACTTGAATTTGACCACCAAAACCCTGTAAGCAACCACCATAAAAGGCCGAATAGCTGCAGTAAACAGACTTTTCTTCACCTCTTTGGCTACTAGGCTTTGTTGAAAGGAGCGAAGTTTACATACATTTGTGCCATTTTAATTCCTTACATTTAGACCACTAACACAACATGTGGCATATCCGAAACAGACATTTACAAGAAGACTACATAATTGTGTTTACTGTGTTAAATATATCATAGGCTACATGCATGGCCTTCCAAAGCTGTTGAACTTCAAGAAAATAAAGGTGAGGTGTGCACACTATAATTTAATTGAGTGTAATGTTAGCCATAGTGTTAGCTTGTAAATATATATGTATATCTCTTGTCAAATTCAGCAAAAGGTGAGATTGAATGTCGGCACACAAACTGCACCCGGAGAGCAGTAGAACTAATAAACAAATAGCCTGCAATAAAAATGGTATCCTCTTCCTGGGACCGTCGGCCGTGTATGACCATTAAACGCTCTCTTCCATGCTGCAGGGATGCCAAGCGCACTATTCGGTGTTCATTTGCTGTTTATTTTGGGCACAATACAGATTATTTCTACATTAGCTTACATGTAGCCTATAGCATCTGAATGTGAGTGGCTATATTGCTTTCATGAAGGCTGACAGAATGTAACGATTGCGTCTGCGTGCACTTGGAGAGCTATGGCTAGGTTAGCGCAAGTCTGCTTGCAATAGGACCCTGCATATAAAACAATCTAGGTATTCGTTCGATCTGAAAATAGATATTTGTCCTATACAGTTCTACTGAGTTTGGTGCCTCTATCTCCAACGGTTTAATATTGTGCATAGCAAACATAATATCCCCCAAAGCGCCAATGGTCTCTCGCGTCTTGAGACTTGAATGAGAGCGGTGTTGTAAATATTTGACATTCTCTGCTTGAAAACAACACTGTTGGGGAGAAGACTTTACGACATGTGTTTGTCTGCGGAATGCATGTTACTAACAAGACTACTGACCTATCTTTAATCCAAAGAGAAATCATGAAAATAGAGACCAAACGGAGACCAGGACAGGTTATATTTTCTCTCAAGACAGTGGTCAAGTTAGCTCAGTCAATTTCAATACCCACAAAAATTCGACCTGAAACAAGCGCTCAATGTGGCAAGCGTGTGAAATAATATTATTGTCCCCTCATGGCCCAGATCATTTTAATTGGATGTAAGACAACCTATTAAATTCGGTTGTATGAGCTGTGAACAGTTTCAAGCATCAACAAAAAAAAGGCCATGGTTACACCGAGGTCCTGGCCAAAGCAACGAGCCGCAGCAACTGAGAATGGGAAGCAGGTTTTAACACATATGCCCTTAGGTGAAGATATCAGGAGTTCATTGTGCAATAAGCACACAACCATAAGTCTTTCATTGTGCAAGTTTTGTTCTGAAAATCAATAAAGCGGAAAAGTGGATTTATTAATAGCCTGATTAAAATGCAAGGACTGCAGGTGAGTTAAGCAGAGGCTATAACTTACTTTTTGGTAAGTCATTTTCAGGATATAGCATTTTGAAAGGTTAAAGGTTACATTAAGCTACTATTCATTAGAAATAAATAGCTCCTAAATAGGCTAACAAAGATCATGTGATAGCCTATTTATTGTGGAAATTAGCCATACTATAGACGATACTATAACTAACCTATACAATATATAGCTTAAAACAATAATAAACAATGAATAAAACACTTCACGATCAAGTACACAACGTTAAATGTGTGGATGTTGCCGTCTTGTTTTGGGGATAATTTGTGGCGAGAGTAGCCCACCTCATGGATATAACAAACCCAAATGTGCTATGAAAAAATATTTTGGGGAGGGTTAGCTGAGGTTTGGTCTAACCCAGGGAGAGAGTCAATGTTGACAGAACACGCTCCTCGAACAAGCTATATTGGTTTTATGCTTATGTGTGCGAAATGAAAAACAAAACTGCAACAGCATACATTCCACAAAAAACTTTGAGGGCATATAATATGCTTATCCCGTAAAATAAAGTTTTTTTCATTTCTTGTTTATTCATGGTTGCCATTTGTCACTTACAATAGGGCCTAATATAGCCTACAAATCCAGTGATGTGGTTGGATTGCGCGTGCTGAGGACAATTTTCTCCACGTGTGTGGTAGAGTCATTTGTAGGCCTATAGTGTAGAATTTATAGTGTCATTTCACTTAGTGCACTTTGCATTATACGAAGAAGAAAAAAATATTACAGGCTGCAATTTACACATGCATTTGCGAGATTTGTCTGTCATTTGTGGTGTGAATCTGCACGACTCGAGTGGACAGCCTACTGGACTATCATCTTTATTATGACAAATAATAAATGGGCAAAAAAGAAATAAAATCCTGTGCACAGCAGTACGTTTCCAGGTGCTGGCAGGAACAGCTAGTATCCACGAACACTGAAAACGTTATAACTAAACTCAAGGTCGGTCGCCTGTCTTTTCGAGTGTGCGATTTTTACACTTGTTTTTTTTTTAAAGGAAATGGGAAGCTGGTTCATAGTCGTTACCAAATACTAATTTTGATCCCAAACATGCAAAAAAAGCAACAATATTACCAAGCTGTGGCTCATTTCGTTTCCTCTATCTGAAATAGGCTGCATACAAATTGATGAATACATTTTGAGTAGGCACATCTTATTTCTTAAAAATATATAAATCAAAACATTACAAATACTTGGATAAAGTGTGTCCATTGAGCAATAACAGTGTTTGAGGAAGCTATGATATAGCCCTATCAAAAGTTGACGATTATTAAACCAATCCATATTTTTAGAAAATATTTGCAAAATCTGCATCATGGAAATTAATAATCTGTAAACTGATAGATTATCAAAATAACATAAATTGGAGCAGGAATAAACCGAATTTTGGCAATATGTTCAATCCTAATATAGCCTATATTTGGAAAGGGTTAGTATTTGGAAAGGGTTAAACATTCGATTTCGTTTGTACCTCCATGTGCGGGAATAAACGCAACATGTCTGTGCAGTAATGAGAATGAATCAACTGGTCAAAAACTGTAATCATAGCTAGTTCTACATTATTTCAGCAAAAAAACAGATTAGGTCGCATCAAAATTGAAAACTTATTAGAAGATCAAATTAATCAACTAACACAATAAGCTTGTTGTCTTGTTTCAAACCAAAATACAACCAGGCAGGTCACCCATGATACAAGTTAGTATTCATGTCAATGTCGGGAGATGACGTGGAAACCGGCCACTAGAGGCAACAGCGAGCACTGTTACCTTCAAGTAGGCTTTGGTTTTGCTAGGGCTTTGTGGATGGTAAAAAGGTTGCATGTTCGAATCCAGAGATATATATGTTTGTTTTAAACCTATCCCAAACCTTAACCCTTACCCTAACCATTCAG